AAAATCAAAATCAAAATCAAAATCAAAATCAAAATCAAAATCAAAATCAAAATCAAAATCAAAATCAAAATCAAAATGTTGTACGAAAAAACTGTTGTTACATGCCATTCATTCAATTCAAAAAGTTATTCTCATTTATTAAAACACCAAGTCGAATTTTATATTTTATATCTTTATATAATGTCGTATGCTAAATTATTATCATCATTATCAACAGAAAGAAAGGAATTTGTTTGTAAAATTGATAGTGGAATGTATAGTAATGCTAATGTTAATAATTCTCATAGAGAAAGTAGAAAATATTATTTTTTTTCATTAGTCAAAAAAAACAAGGAGCTTTCTGAAAATGAAAAAGAATTTTGTAGGGAAAGGTTTATTTATAATTTTGAATTAAATAGTGCAAGAGATAAAAGGGGAAAACCAAAAGAATGTAACAAGTGTAAATTGACAAGATACTCTGATAGGTTCTGTGAAGGTTGTATTAGTTTACAATTGCAGAGCCTTTTCACCACTTGGACATCTGGAAATAACACAGTTGACAACTTTATTCAACAATGTCAAATGAAATCATCTCTGCCAAACCATATTTTGGAATGGATACCTTTTGAGCAATTTAAAAAAGTAACAAAATTGACAGAAGGTGGATTTAGTTCAATTTATGCTGCGGAATGGTCAAGAGGAGAAATAGTTGATTATGACGAAAATAAAGTTACTTAGGAGGAGGGTTCGGTGTAGTATTAAAAAGTTTAAATGATTCAAGTAATCCAGGAAAAAGCTTTTTTGATGAGGTTGGTAATTGTCATTTAAAACAAAATAAACAATATATAATACTAATTGATTTTATATTTAATTACAGGCAATAAATTATTCTAAAATTAAAGCACCACTGATTGTTAAATGCCATGGTATAACTAAATTCCCAGATAATGGAAATTATGCAATAGTTTTAAATTATTTAGAGGGAAATTTAAGGGATTATTTACAAAAAAATCATTTAAATTTAACATTAAAAAACAGAATTACAATATTTAGATATTTATGTTATGCATTAGATGATATACATGAAAAAGATTTAATCCATTGTGATTTACATAGTGGTAATATATTAATAGATGAAGGTAGATGTTTTATTACAGATTTGGGATTATGTGGACCAGTTGATGAAAAATCATCAGATAAAGTCTATGGAATTGTATCATATGTTGCACCCGAACTACTTAGAGGCAAGAAGAACACCAAAGAATCTGATATCTATAGTGTTGGGATGTTAATGTGGGAAATATTTGCAGGTCATCCACCATTTGA